TATGGGTACATCTCTCAACACCCATATGAAACAGAACTGTAAGCAGATTTTTCTTTTTGGATATTTTACAAATCACTCCCCTTTCAAACTCTATTCTTGTTATTTTTAACAACTTTTTTGTTACTGTCATATAGTATTTTATACCTGTTAATAATGTAGTCTCTAATGTCTCATTAATAACTATAATGATCATATCAAGGTGTGCCTTAACCTCACTGAGCTGAGGTTATTTGAGCCTCTCAGGAGAGAGCTCTCTTCCACCTGGTTGTAGAAAAGCTCTTTAAATTCGTTAGCATAGCTAGCTAGCCAGATGCTAATAACAACAGATCGCCACTGTGCTTACAACTAAAGACATAGCCTCGCAAACACTGCGGCATGTGTACGGCTCCTTATGGGTATTGCAATATTTGAAGAGCTGGAGCGGCGTTCCGATGCTCTACTCTCCGTTACTCCTTTCAGACGAGACATAACCACGTGAAGACACGTTACGCTCGTGTTGTGTTCAATGAACCTGTTCTTGGCCAGGAAAAACAGGCACTCGCTTGTTTAATTATTTTGCGATCTAGATTTCTTCTTGTTTTTTGAAGTGAGAAGTTGTCCGTCAGTCGGACGGACGGATAGATGGACCCCCCCCCAAAACGAAAACTCTTCGGTTCTCCACGAATTACACAAGTCACCCAAATCAGCGTTAAAAAAGCGAGAGGCGCCGAAAAGCGACTAATTTGCATCACTGAATGTGGGGCCCCTCAGGGCTGCATGAGTTCAATGTAGGACCCCCAGGGCTGCATGAGTTCAATGTGGGGCCCCCCAGGGCTGCATGAGTTCAATGTGGGCCCCCAGGGCTGCGTGAGTTCAATGTGGGGCCCCCACGGCTGCGTGAGTTCAATGTGGGGCCCCCAGGGCTAAGTGAGTTCAGCTGTGCTCTTTACTCTCTACACTGACGATTGTCGTACCAACACACCAAATCAATATATTATTAGGTACTCTAATGATAGTGTTAATATCTCTGTTAAGTAACTCAGACAACCTTGGGCTGTAAATCAAGTGGTTGAGTGATAATAATTCTTCTGAGATTAATAGCAAAAAAACAGAGGAAAATGTGTTTGGCTCACCATCTGACTCCCATACAGTCCCCATTGTAATACTTGCAACAAAGAATACAAGCAGGTACTTCCATATCAATATTTGGGTGCAGTAATACCATCTGGTATCCTGGAAAGATCTAATTGAATATCTCTGAATACACCTACCAAAAGGACAAAACAAATCATTTTGTTTTCGCTGCCTTAGGTCTTTCAGGGCGAGTAGACAAATGATTCTTTAATTTTTTTACATCTCTGATTTTCACTCTTCTTCAGTATTGCAATACTAAATGCTACAAGTGTTTTACTACTGCTTTAAAACTGCTCCACCAGCTGAACAACTGCTCAAAGATTATAGGTCAACCCTCTGAGAGACGTTAGGCATCAGCCTACCATAACTACATATTAACATCATCTCTGACCCCAACCAAGATTCAAGGCTTTTGTTGTCATTCGAACATAGCTACAGTGTAGTTATATCGATGGAAATCTTAGGTCACAGGCTCCTCCAACAGTGCAACACAATAAAACTGATACAATAGTGCAAGTAAATACAATAAACCATGTCCTGAACAGTGAATATGAAATGTTACCATCAAATTGTAATTACGGGGTCCCAATAAAGTAAGACTGAAGCACTCCTTTTCTTTTCCTTGAATCTTGTTTTAATCTTTGTCCTTGATTGATGTTGCAAATGGAGCTGCTGTGATGCAAGAAAAATGTCAGACTGGATCTGACAATAAATCATTATCGTATCATATCCTATATATATATATATATATATATATATACACACTGTTTCCCCTACCATTGTCTTGGAGGGGCGCTGCGCTCCGCCAACGGAGCCCCGCCAACGGAGCCCCGCACCCCCCCTGAAATTCAAGGTGTTTATTTTTTAAATATATATATAGCACCAAATTGCAACTAATCTATATCTACTGTCACTTTTCACATTGAACATGTGCTCTTTTATTAAATAAACGCTTTCATTTTAAGTTGTGAGTTTAGTGTTTTTGACCCTAAGAAACACTGATGCATTAATCAATAACAATAATCCACAGCTCCTCTCTCTGCTCCAGAGGATTTACAAAATATGTATCCCAATGCCACACACCCCCCCCGCCCAAAGCAGTAAACCTAGGGGAAACACTGATATATATATATATGTAGATATATATATATATATATATATATATATATGTAATGAAGCAAAACCTGAAAAGTAATATCCCTTTTCATTTTCCAACTGATGGAGTGAGGACTGGAATGTGCAGTGTTTGTGTTCACCTGTGTTTGAACCTGTCACAGAAGGCATCTACACACTGTGCTAGAGTGGAAGGCTCCACTCCGTCCTGCTGCTGCTCCCTGTCGCTCTCCTCTGCAGCCACAGGGGGGAGCTGCTCGATGGAGGTGGACGTGGGAACAATGACGGTGTTGGGACTCTTCCCTGCTAACAGATCCTGATAAATCACCAGCACGCTGTCCAGGAACTCTACAGAAATATGGCACATCGGGCAATCAGGGGGAGGATATTCATTTTTTGCTTACTAATGGATAATCCCTCTCTCACTATAGGTAGTTAGTGGGTTGTATTACAATTTTCTTATCAGATATCTAAACTTAGAATTGATCACAGAGAGACCACAGCTTGTTATCCTAAAAAGACTTCATCAATCAATGAATGTAACCATATTGGGCCAATCAACAGTCAACAATGAAAATGCCCACGGTTAAACATATAAAATGTGGATAACATTTCATTTACCATAGAGAATAAAATACAACAGTTTGATTTCAATTATATTGTAAAATATTTGGAAACATATACAAATCATTCACCCACCCTAAATATTAAAGGTTACAGCCAAACTGATTGAACTGAGTACACGAGCCCGGACATACTGTGGACGGCCATATTAAACAGTTCTATTGTACCTTTGTAGTAGAACTGTAGCTGGAAGGCAAAGAGGAAGTCAGAGAAAGACATCAGGCAGTCTATGGCGTCGTCCATCAGCACAATTCTACAGGACAAGAAAGGAAAAGCTGATAACCAAGTTTACAGCAATCTGCTGTCAACCTGCACAGCAGTTACCTGTGGATTAAGGGACCCAACCATCCTAACTTAAGATAACTTAATATAAAAGTCAGAGCTGTATGCAACATGAAAATACATTAAAAAAAAAATCTTAAATGCAATTCGGTCCATATGACTCAAAGTTAACACTTTATTCATAGGTCAGTTACAGGGTATAGCACTGCTCTGTACAATATACACAATATATAACTACATGTTGATGACTGCACTGTACTTTAATAGACATCCTGTTTACTCTACTACACTATGTACCTCAGAATAATCCTCACAGTTACTTGAACTTGAATATTTTCAAAGCTTGTGATATTAAACTTGTGGTCACCAAACTAACAAAGGTGGGACATCTGTGGATTGGTGAACAACAGTACAAAGAAAGCCTGGTCAAAAGAGTTTGATGAAATAATAAATTGTGTTTGAGCAAACAAGTTCAGTTAGTTGTCTAAGGCGTGTACCTGGCTGCATTCTGCACCGGCTCCAAAGGGAAGTCTGGACACAATAACTGCAGCAGAGACCTGTACTCCAGCATGGAGAGCAACTCTACCATACAAAATGAGAAAACAACTCTAACTTAGCCACAGAAAGAACAACAGTGAAGAACAGCACCCAAATGAAGTTGTGGTTTTCACATTCACTTACTGGAAAGGTGTCAAAAACAATGTTTTCACCCATGCAAATGACTGATGATCAGAACATTTAAATGTTATCGACAATCACTTAACTCATGTCAAGATAAACCTAATATATAGAAAGGGTCAATTATTTAGGGGCAAAACAGATCAGTTTACATTGCAGTTTTTCTAGCTCTCTCACCACCACTCTTGCCGATCTGTCTGTAGCATCTCCAGAAGACTCTGATGAAGGAGGCTCTGTTATGTGGAGTGGCCATGATGTAGCTATACTCTCTGAAGAGCACGTGATTACTGTTCTTTACACTGCTGAAACTACAAAAACACACAAATTACAAAAGGAAACCAAATGTAGTAAGTAATATGCATTACTAATATACATACTATGTGTGTGTGTGTGTGTGTGTGTGTGTGTGTGTGTGTGTGTGTCTGCATGTGTCACATACTATTCAGCAAAGTAGCGGATCACCCCAAAATGGGTACCGTTACTCTCCGTTACACTCCGTTACTCTCCGTTACTCC